GCTGCAAATGGCATTATTTTATTCTTTTTTATGGCTGAGTTGTATTCCATTGTATAAATATATCACTTCTTTATCCAGTCATTTGTCGATGGACATTTAGGTTGCTTCCATGTCCAACTAGATTTTTGTTTCCATGAGTGCAGGAAAATTGTTCTTTCCCAGATTGCAAGTGACCCTTCTCTGGAAGGTCAAATCCAAGGTTCTTGAAGTTCAAATCCAATCCACAAACTCAACTTCTCTGCTGCGTCTAACACAATTATTTACTCCTGCCCTCTAGGAAACACTTTCTCAACTTAGTCTCTGGGTCACCGTGCTCCAATCTCCTGGTTTCACTCTTATCACTCTTTCTCTATCATCTTTGCTGACTCTTCTTCTTCCTGCCCTCTAAAATGTGGAGGATTCAGCTCCAGGCCTTTTTCTCTGTCTGCACTCCCTGGGTGATCACATCTAGCCCTATTGTGCTACTGACTCCAAAATTTGTATCTCTGGCCTTTTCCCCTCAAAAATCCCCAGAGCCTACTGATGTCTAAAGGCCTCTCAAACTTAACATGTCCAGAACAGAACTCTTACTCTATATTCCAACTTTTAAAATCCCACTCTTCAACAGGTCTTCCCCATCTCAAAAAATGGTACCACCATTCACTCAGCTGAATAGACCAAACACCTAGAAGGCAAATCCTTTCTCCATGTCCAGTCCATCAGTGAATCCTGCTGATTCTACATTTGAAATATATCTTAAATTTCCCCAACTGCAACCTAGGCTAAGCTCCCATCTCTTGCAGGCTCAGCAGTAGACTCCTTTGACAGTTTCCATAGTCCGTTCTCTACACGGAAACCAGAGGGATCTCTTACAAACATAAATCATTCCACAGCACCTCCATGCTTCAAGCTCTCCAATGGTTTCTTAGCATTCTTAGGCTAAATTTCAGTTTCCTTGTGTGGCCTGCTCACCTCTCTGAACTTATCTCCTGTACTTTTCCTCTTCACATTAGCTACCCAGGCTTTCTTGAAATTCTGGAACATGCCAGACCCATTCCTGTAGACCTTTACACTTTACCCAGACCATCAGATGTCTTCCTCCCTCTTTGAAAGAAGTTTCAGTTCAAATGTTACCTTCTCAGAGATAACCTCGCCACCAGGTTAAAACAGAAAGTACACCCCAGCTTACTCTCTAATTCCTTATACGACTTTCTTCTTTCTGCTTTTTTCTGTCACAACCTGCAGTTATATATTTATTTAAGTATACTTTCTTATTATTATTTATTTAAGTATATTTAAGTATACTTAAGTATACTTATATATTATATGTAAGTATACTTGCTTATTGACTGTCTCTCTTACTAGAACATAAGCTCCCCGAAGACAGGGGCTTTATTTTGCTTACCACAAATTCTCACACAAGCCTTGTGCTATAGAAATTATGATTCCCACTTTACAGATGAGTAAACTGAGATTTTGAGATATTTGTAACTGTTCAAGATTATGCACTAAGTAAGTAGCAATACCAGATTCCAAATTCAGGTCTGACCCCAAGTCCCATTTACTTTTTTTTTTTTCAATGGAGGTGCTGGGGATTGAACCCAGGATCTCATGCATGCTAAGCATGCAGTTTACCACTGAGCTATACTTTCCCTGGCTCCACTGACTTTCTACTCACTACAGTATCTCTGGTGACATGTTATGGCTCCATCTAGTGGACACTGTTCTGTCCTTGACTGGCTTGAGATTTTTGCAACTCTGTCTCCTTAAACCTCATTTCTTCCTCAAATACCCTGATACCAACATGTCCTCATTCTCTTCTTACTTCTCTGGATATTCCTTCTCATCCTCCTTTAAGAACTCTTGTTACTTATTCGCATCTTCAAATATTGATATTTAGGAGGGTGTTACCCGCATTCTTCTAATCTTGTTCCATTAACTCTCCCTGGATCATTTCAGCTGGTCCCATGGTTTCCACTACTATCTCACTATGATGTGTCTGAAATCTGTGTCTCCAGGCTAAGCTTTCCTTCCTGGATGTCCCATAAGTACTCAGGATCAACATGTCCAAAACAAAACTTACACCTCTTCCCTGCTTACTTCTTCCCATGTTTCACCCATCCCAGTGAATGACTTGGCCTCATAAGCAAGTCCAAAACCAAAGAGCCATCCTCCATACCCACTCCAGATCACTATGTCTCACATCCAGTTAGGCTGTTGGGAGTCTCTTAGTTTGGCCCAGGATCCCAAACTGTTCACCCA